AACAAATCATAACAATTAGAACTACTTAATCGAGATTCGTGCCTCGATGTTCCCTACTTAGACAATTGTATATTGTGGAAACTGATAACAATATACGGCTAATTATTTTTATAAGACTGTTTTATGTTTATATGATTTACTATTAGTTTATTTATTTTACATTTAATTTGTATAAATTGTCAGTGTAAATTTTTTTGTGAAGCTTTATTTAACTTTCAAATTATAAATTATTATTTTATTTACCTAATATAATAAAATATCTTGTTTTTTGTGTTCAAAATTAATAGGATTTGAGTGTAACAATAGTATTGATAAGATAATCATCATAAATATTAATATGATAGCCTCTTAACATTTTTATACTACATTTTATTATTAATACTTACAAAGGTTATAATTTATTAAATAAATGCATACCTTTTAATAAGAAATTATTTTAATAAAACATTTAATAATGTATTCGTGAATCAAATATTTATTTAATGTAAATTATTGGTAAGTCCCATTTTATTAATTATTTTAGTAATTTATTTAAATTAAATTCAGATATTCAATAATAAAATCACAAATGTTTTATCAAAATAACATTTACTTTATTTAATACTTTAATTAAACTTTTATAATGAAAAGCACAATAATTCAGTAAATGCTATTTAGTAAAAACCTTTTTTGATTTATGCCTAAACATTTACATAATATTCTTTTTGAATACTTTAATTGTAATCCATACAATATTATATAATTAAATATATATACAATATAATAGTAATATAATATACTACGGATGTATATATATTTACAAAATTTTAAAGTTTATTTGCTATGTAATTTACCTTTTATGAGTAACACTGCGATACTGTATAAAAATTAGTTTTTTATTCTACCATAATATAGTTTACTATTTATATTTTAAACATTTGATTTAAATATAATACAAATAAATATAATTTAAATTCACATCAAAGTATTTTACTGTATAACTAAACAACTCTTAATTTAAACTAATAAACAAAAGTGCTTTTCAGTTACATATTTAAATGTGGCAAATATTTATCTCTAAATCACTTTTGTATGAAATTTAAAAAATTTTAATTTCTTTAGATAATCTATAACGTGTTAAGCTTATGGCTATATATTTTAAATGATTATTTGTTCTAAAGTCATTTAAATTACATTTTAAATGGATATGTATTTATGTTATAATATGGGTGCAATGTAGTTTACTTTTATTATTTTATATTAAAATTATGTTATAAAATATATTATAATTTTTACAGAATATGTCAAATCCCGAGATAACAATACTACTGTTGGGTGAGTCGGGGGCCGAAAAATCAATATTCATAAACGCATTCATTAATTATTTAAGCTACGACAATTTTGATAAAGGATGCATTAATCCAATTTGTGTATTTCCGATTAATTTTAATGTTTATGATAATCACACAAAAGAATTGAAAAGTGTAAAATTAATAAGTGATACAAATGAGTCTGATACTAAGAATGGGAAACGGGAGTATCCTACGTGTTATAAGTATTCAGTCAATAATACTCAGCTCAATATCATCGATACACAAAGTATTACCTTTTTGAAAGATGATGATAATTACGATACAAACGATACAAACATCAAGAAGATATTGGACTTCTTATCCAATTACAGGAAGATTAATGCCATTTGTGTGCTCTTAAAGCCTAACAAAGCGAGGGTTGACGTGGTTTTCAAATATTGTTTAACACAGTTATTGGGTTATTTGAATAGGTCGGCCGCTGATAACATACTGTTCCTCTTTACAAATGCCCAAAAATATGGGGACTCAATGGGGTTACTAAAGTCAGAAATAAGGAATATCAGGGAAACCCATTCTATAGATATTAAAAATATAAATGACAAGATTTTTTGCATTAACCACGAGCCATTCAAAAACGCTGTGGCATCAGCATCACCAAATAATATTATATTTATCGAAGATGTGAAATACCTTCATAATATTTATTGGGAAAGGTAATATTATTTAATAATATTAATACTGTATATCATATCATTTTTCTAAAACCTTTAGTTGTTTTACAAAATTATGATGATTATTAATGCGTTATTTAATTTTGAAAATATTTATATTGGGTACTTTTTGTTTAAAATGCAAAATCTTAAAATTAGATAGATTTTTATTTATTAATTAGTAAGCAAGACATATTTATTATAATTTGAAAGTATTTAATCAGCAAACTTATAATTCAATAACCATATTAGATAAAAAATAAATTTTGTTATTTGTAATTTCCCCTTTCCTGTGTTCCCCTCCCCTTCTCGGCCTTCCGCTTTCATACCCTCCCCTGCTTTTTTATATAATAACTTTCTTTTAACTAATTTAACTTTTCAAAACTAATGTAAAATACAATTTTATTGGTTTTCATGGATAGATGATAAATATCTATATTTATAACATTATAATTTATTCTACAGTATATTTGCTTGACTATAAATGTAGGTTTCTATAGCATTGCCTAAAACCTTTTCTGAGTATAAAATATTTAAATTAATTTATTTAATAATGTTTCGTAAATTCAAAATAGGTCGCATGGTGAATGCAACAAATTATTTGCGTATATTTGCAAACTCCCCATATTAAAATTTACAAATAAACTTAAAATCGCCCCAAACATTCAAAATATCATAAACAAGGGTAATCATAATGAATACGTTGATAAATCAAAAGAGATAACCCTACTATTATTGGGTGAGTCTGGTTTATTAAAGCCAACATTTATTAACGCATTCGTCAATTACATTACTTACGAGACTATGGATGAGGCCAGTTGTCAAACCAAGTGTCTGATACCAGACAAGCTAAAGATGTGGGACGAAGATCATTGTGAAATGAAATATATTCATGTGTATACCAACAATGGCATAGATGCAAATACTAAAAATAGTACGAGACAGAAAATGGAATACCCACGATGCTTTAAATTTACTGTCAAAAATTTAGCTATAAATATCATCGATACCCCAAGTATTTCAGATACAAAGAACATTGATTTTTATTCAATAAATGTTGACAAGCTGTTGAATTTCATAAGCAATTATCGTGAGATTAATGCCATTTGTGTGCTTTTAAAGCATAATAAAACTCGATTTGATTTGGTTGTCAAACATTGCTTAACGCGTTTATTGAGTCACTTGAATAAGTCGGCCGCCGATAATATACTGTTCCTCTTTGCCAATACATTCGGCTCCGATAACTCATTGGCGATCATAAAGTCTGAATTGGATAAACTTAGACAAAGTACCCAGAATATAGACATTGAGCTTCATAATGATAATATGTATTGTTTTGATTACGACTCATTTAAATACGCTGTGGCGCAAGCACCGCCCTATAATATTAAATTAAATGCACATGAGAAAAATAAGCAGAATAAATATTGGAAAAGGTAACATTAATTTCTTTAAAAATTAGTTTTTTATTTCTTTATTTATTTAATTTTAAATGTTTTAAAGTTTACACATTTGATTTATAATTGATGCATTTATATTTTAAATAGGTGTTATTTAGAAAGTCAACGATTATTAGATTATGTTTGTAGACTACAATCGATTAAAGTTCCCATCGCAACACCAAGGGCACTTGAAGCAAAACAAGCTACACAGATTGACAAGCACTATGTATCATGCATAACCAAATTGGAATCAGCAATACAATCTATACCGCCACCATTAAACCCGAGTATTCAAAAGGAGCAGAGTCAAAGTAATCCCAAATTATCACATCAAAATCAAACTACGGCTCAAAATATACAACAACCAAGGCAATCTGTAAAACCAAATGTACGACCAACACGAAAGACTGCACCCGCAATTGAATTTCAACGAATTTCAATTGATAAAAAGAATGAATCCTTATTAGTTAATAAAGTAAACCTGAATGCAAAACCGCGAATAAAAACTGGATCAACACAAATAAAATATGAAACACCAAAAGTAACACCACCATCCTCAATACAATTTCCACAATCAAACGTACAACTAAAACACAATACTATTTCTCCAAATGTGGAAGTTTCAGTTTTAACCGGAGAATCAAATAATCCATCACAATTGCAAACTGTAGATAAAATTGAACCGGCAGTTACCGAAAATAAACCAGTTAAATTACGACCAACAATTAAAACTGGACAAGATATCACACATCCACCAATAATATCCGAACAACAAAATATAACACCAACGCCTCTAAAAGGTCTACAGAAAAATTTATCACAAAAAATACAAAAGGTAAAATTACATATATCGATACAACCCCAAAATGAACAAATTGAACTAGATGAAAATTCGTCTATTAAGAGCAAACCACAAATAGAAACTGAACATATAAATGAACTACAAACAATACAAAGTAAAGATTTAAATGTATCATTACCAGTTGAAACTGACCAAAATACAATACAAAATGTACTACCATCACTAGAAACTGAGCAGTCAACTATATCTGAACAACTACAAATTGAACACCAAAATGAACAAACTCCAATTGTAAATGATATGTTGACTCCTGATTCAGCAAAACGAACTCAACAAGAAAATTTTCCCATACCTATTCAGCCTAAAAAGAAAAATGCACCACCACCAATTTCTCCTAGAACAAAGGCAACGATAAACTCATTCCCTTCACAAACAACAGCTCCAAAAATAACTCCAAGGAAAACTAAAAATATTTTAAACGCTTTTCAGAAAGAGATAACAATCCTATTATTGGGTGAATCGGGTGTAGGGAAGTCCACATTCATCAACGCATTCGTCAATTATATGACTTACGAAACTATGGATGAGGCCAGGGATGGAAAGCCTATATGCTTAATACCCGTCAGTTTTATGGTATCAGATAAAGAAACTTATGAATTGAAAAGTATTAATTTGTTTCCACAAGATGTCGACACAAATGAAAATACAAATGACAGCACTAAGTCTGCAACACAAAACGCCAGGTGTTATAAATTCACTGATGGTAAAATAGCCCTGAACATTATTGATACGCCTGGTATTGCCGATACGGAAGGTATAGATAGAGATAATATAAACATGGAAAACCTGTTGGACTTTATAAGTAATTATCAGGAAATTAACGCAATTTGTGTGCTAATGAAACCTAATAATACCAGAATTGATATGGTTTTCAAGTATTGTTTGAATCAGTTATTAAATCATTTGAATAAGTCTGCGGCCGATAACATACTGTTCCTCTTTACCAACGCCCGGTCCACTCAATACGCACCGGGAGAATCGGGACCGGCGTTAAGGTCATTATTGGATGAAATTAAAAATAAACCACCCTATGTCGATATATCATATAATAAACAAACAATCTATTGTTTCGACAACGAAGCCTTCCGTTTCTTAGCGGCTACTGTCTCCCCGAATAACATGCAATTTGATGACAATTTAACACAAGAATATAATCGAAGTTGGTGCCAGTACGTATATAAAAAACGTTAATTGTTATAAATATAACTCGATTAATTTTGAAAATAGGTCCGTCATAGAATGTAATCGCTTACTCGAGCGCATTGTCTCCCTTTCCCCTCACAAAGTAATGGACACCATATCGCTGAATACAACCAAACAAAATGTCCAACTATTAGTCGAACCATTGGTGGAAACATTGAAAACATTAGTCACAAACATAGTAGAGTGCGAGAAACGGTTGAGTAAATTACCGGCGCTTAAGGGTAACTCTCAGGCGGATGAATATGTGCCGAAATTCATATTAAATCCGACACAATTGGATGAGCCAAATATGGTGTGCACAGCCAATGAATGCTGTGTCAATAAAGACATCCCTGGTACAAAATTATTGCAAATAACATACAATAACCCATGCCATGCACCATGCGAAGACATTAGCAAGGATACTACGATTGGCAACGAAATTTTAACACAATGCGATATTTTTAAGCAGTTAATGGTAAATGGGATATATGAGCATGTTTGCTCTGTATGCGCTCACAGTTATAAGAAGCATAAGCTTATAAACTTTGAATTTGAAGTTGAGATGATCCATGATAGAGGGGAGATCAAACGTACCGAAGCAGGTAACGATGTACACATAACTAATATTACGCAAAACACCAAGCTTGAAGAAAAAATAAACGATTTAAATACGAATTGTACAACTATCATTAAGTCGAACGCAATTTTTGTGTATTTTTTAAAAGAAAACACACTGACCAATTATATTGATTCGTTTGGGCATGAACTTGCTACCTATATTGATAACCGTAAAGGAAATGAAACTATTAATAATGGATCGATTGACGAGATTCTAATTAAAATGGAAGGTCTCTTAGTATTATACGATACAGAAAAATACAATTTAGAAGAGAATCACGAAGATATTACCCCGGATGATATTGAGATGTATATTCAAGATTTATACAATATAGTTGAGCATGGCCAGAAAATTAAGGATGTTTGTAAAGCAAAACAAAAGATAAAAGTTCAAAGTCACGATTCGAACAACGTGATTTTAACTAAAGTATCTGCAAATTCAGAAATGTTCAGCAAATTGAAATCATTAATAGAAAAATAATTATTCATTTTGATTAAATATATTTTTTATTATATAATATGGGTTATATACAATAGATTAAATACATAAATTACATGAATCGGTAAATGGAATAATCGGTTATCTTTATATTTAAACAATATGTATTAAACTATAGGTAATATAATATTAATTAAGTATATGGTATAACCATATAGATTATAAAGAGTTGTCCACAAAGTACTCGCACTGGAATTAATTTGTAAACTAGATCAAATAAAAATAAATTAAAAATATACTTTTTTCGTTTTTTAATGGTCTTCCATTTTCCGAAGACACAGATATGTTACAGTACAGGGCTGGTATGGGGACTGGTACCTGGTCTAGAGCAAAAACTATAAGTCCTAGAGGGAATTTAAGTACACCATTCG